AGTGCGTTGACTCTCACCTTAGAATTCCTAGCATAATCTAGATTTAAACAGCAAAGTCATGCCCAACAAGCATCTTTCCTCCTTGATGTGGAGTAGCTGTGCAAAAACGCTGGTGCCTTTTAAGGAAACTAGATCTACCCACAGTTAACCTAGGACGAGAAAGTGATGATGTCATTCAGTGGCTCAGCACTGTCACAAACTGCTGGGACCCTCAGCAAAGAAGGTACCAGGCTCTAAGTAATTTTTAAAAATTGGCAATGGTTTTGCAGAGCAACCTGGAGTGACTGAAGATGGAGGACGAGTGAGTATGTGGCAAACTTGCTAGGCAATTCCACTCCATCCATAAGCTGGAGCACTGTTTAAAGCAGCCTGTTCAGATGGAAATTTTTTATCCTGTAGACTGTTTTTAACTGAAGGGAAAAGTGGCTTGCTTTTTCTAGTTTGGAGTTTGGGTCAGAATGTCAGATGTAATTATTCACTATGAAACGGGATTCCAGTGTCAGAAGAACGTTCATCACTGCTCCGTTTACAATGGCCATGTGGTTGGACTCTTAGCCAGTTTGAAAAGAATACACACACTATATATATATATATATATATATATATATATATGTATGTATATATGTAATATATATATATACATATATATATGTATATATATGTATATATATATATTTTATAAATGTGGAAACACTCTGAAAAGGTAATTTTAGGAAAAGAATAGTACTATAATCAGACAAGGTTTGGCAAACTGTGGCCTGGGGGCCAAATCTACTCTGTCACGTGTGTGTGTGTGTGTGTGTGTGTATGTGCGTGTGTGTAACAGCACATGAGCTAAGGATAAGCTTTACATTTTAAATGGTTAAAAAATACAAAACCCAAAAGAATAGTATTGAATAACACATGAAAAATACATAGAATTCAAATTTCAGCGTCCATAATTAAAGTCTCCTGGAATACAATGATGCCCATTTGTTTACAAATCTCTTCGGTTGCTTTTGCTTTACAAGGATTGGTTGTGACAGAAATTGCATGGCCCGCAAAACCAAAAACATTTACTATCTGGCTCTTCACAGAAAAAGCGCGCTGACCTCTGTCACAGAAGGTATTTGGGAAAGCAGGTGAGGAGCTTGAGGAGGAGATGGGGTTTCTGTCCGCTGTGCTAGAAGATGATTCAGAAAGGAGACGCCAACTACCTGCCCTTACTAACGAGGATGGAATTAGAAAAGACGAATTGATGCTGCAAAAAGGACCATTTGGGTTTCATGCGGTATTTGGAAACTATGGCTAACTGTAATCTTTAGGAGAGAGTAGTCAAACGAAAGCTGCTAGAGTAGAAATCAGGAGACTGAGGACCTAGTCTTAGCCCTGCATCTAACTAGCCACATGACTTTAGATTCTCTGGGCCTCAGCATTGATTCTTGTCCAATGATTGTAATGGGCCAATTTTATTTTCTGCTATAGTGTATGTTGGGGGCTGAGGGTATGGCTCAAATTTAATAGTTATATAAACATGCTTTCAATGCAAAAAGCTTACAGTTCAAACAGAAGTTTCTAACCTGTTATTGTTATGTACATGATGAGGATAAAAACACAGTGCAGCTGGCTGGCATAAAGCAGGTGAGAAACTCTACGTCAGTGACATGATTCCGAACCTTAGGGATCTAGAGGGATGCCTGGTGTTGCAGGCAATGAAAGTCCTCGAGCTGCCCAAGAATGTAAGGAAGCTTCTTAAGAGGGAAGCTCGCTTGAGTTTGTTTCACAGCCAAATTCTCCGAAACCAGTTCTCCCCAGGAACGATTTGGGCCAGGAGCTGAGTGATGCTCACAATGGTCCCCTAATGGTTCACACAGCTTCTCAGAGTCAATTCTCCCAGGCATTTTGCACATGGGGAGAACTTGACAGAGGAAAAAGCTGATGGAAGAATATATCATAAAAGACTGCTGACCCAAGCTGTGTGAGCAGGGCCTGGAGGATCTACCCTGAGCTGGCAAAGGCCTCCCTCTCCCAATTTGCAAGAGGGCTGGCGTTATCCTGCTTTGACACCAACCCACATGCTGGATCTACAGAAGAGCTTGCGGTGGGGCTGAATGGTAACCGATTACTCATTTGTGGAGTGTCCTCTCCATGGGTTTGAACATGCAAGGAACATAATTTGATCTATTTGTCACCGTACCTGGCAGGCCTGGACCCAGTGCCTGTCCATAAACATCCAAGAGTTGATGTTTCAGTTTGAAGACCTGTCATGTATGAACCAGAGTGGGCTCAGGTCTCAAACACTCCGGGCTCCTTAAGAGGAGGGCTTCAGTTTGTATGTTGCCCTTCTGTTCTTCCCTGATGGCTTGTTTCTACATAGGCACAACCACTAGTTGCTCCCCGAAGCACTTTTCTCTGTGTTTGCAATGCACTGTTGATGCCCCTGCAGCTTTGTAATTAATAATATACTGCTTTTCATCTTCAAAGTGATTTATATGCATTAATTAATCCTCACCATACTTCAGAGTTTCTGCAGATAAATAACCATCATGCTCCCATGTTTTACTTAGGAAACCAGGGCTCAGAAGGAAAGCAACTTTGTCAAGGCTACGGAGAAAGGGATCACTGGGGTCAAGGTCAGTGCTCAAGATGTTGACCCATCACCAACTTGCAGACCTGTCAGCACCTTTGGAGAATAGCCGAGAGTAGCCCTATAGCCCCACACTCACTGCCATTACTGCCGGGTAAACTGGCTCATTACATCACGCATTTTTGAATCATAAACTATTCTTCAATACTCCAGGGTCAAAGCATAATCTTACCTAAAGCATACATAATAGGAAATGATGGATTATAATCTAATAAACCATCCTAAGATGTTCAGGTCCAGCTTCTAGTTGCTTCCAGACTGAGGATAAAGATGTTTCCTAATCCATCATTTACAAAGTTACACGCCCAATTAAAACATTAAACTCTCACTATACGGTTTCCCATTTATATGATTGCCCTACAGAAAGCTATTATATTTTAACTATCAAGCTCAATAAATCAGGCAGTAGCCATCTATCTCTCCCCTGCAAGTGGAGGAGGAGGCACTCTGGGGACGGTATTGGCAGAGACTGGCAGTGCCTCAATTTCTATATCTGGGCTCCCCATGGTGCCCACTGGCCCAGCAGAACATTAAACCTGAGAAATCAGCTCATGGACTCTTTCTGAAGTTTCTGACACAAAGCCAACTCATGCAAAGACCCCCGAAGGCAACCAAAGGCAATTCAATTTGCTTCCACGGAGCCCCCCGAACAACGATCTGGGGAAGCCCACGAAACTACATTTAACAACACAAAAAATCTACTCAACTGATTGAGGGTGCAACGGATGCCCTTCCCCCCATCTCAAGTCAACCCATTACTCAATCCTGCAAGAGCTAAGTGAGAAGCAGACATGACTTTCAATCAGGGGTGCAGGGGTGTCAGACCTTAATCCCCAGGTAAAGCTGGGGTTGAGAGCACAGAGGTGTTTGCAAAGCCCCAGATAAACAGGGTGCCTTTCCCTGGAGTGTCAATTTGCTCACTTGTGGAGGGCATTCCTGAGAGATGCGACTGATGTAAAACTTATTTTTTTCGTATTAAGGTGAGCGTTGTAATATCATGGGAGAGAGTGAAAATGTCCCATCAGCTTTTGGCTAGTCACGGTCCACCTTGGGCAGGGCCTCAGATCTCTGGGGGCACATGGTCACCCTCCCTTGCCATCGGGCCAGCTTGGGTAGAATGATCTGGGAATTCCGGGACCAGTCCTTCTGTGGCAGGCACCATGCTGGCTACCTGAGGATGAAGAAAGTGTGCAAGCCCCGCTCCAGAGGGAGAAGGGAGGCCTTATGTAAGGAGAAGCGGCAAAGCCAGAATAATCAGGGTCGTCTTGTTTTTTTTCCTCTTATATGGGAGGGGGTTCAGCATCAGGGTTGAGAACTGTTTTGGAGTTGGCCTCTTTTTGCTAGTGTTTGATAGGTTTGCTTTGCAACATGGCACAGGCAAACTGGAGAAGTCTATCATAGCTGCCCTGAAACCAAGCCAGAGCCATCAAGTGTTTCAAATAAACTTTAACAAATGTCATTGCGGCCTCTGCCTGGGCCAGGAGATCTGCCATTGGCAAGCTCAGCTGACAGAGCAGCAGCCCTGGGGCTCTTGGCTGGGGCGAGGAGCTGAGAGCAGGTTTTGTGTCCAGCCCAGGATGCTTATATGCGTTAGGCACCCTGCCCCTACGCTCTGGGCATTTGCTGCTTTCCATAGTTGGGATGCACCCCAAGGATGCAAACCAACGCCCTTGGCATGGGAAGAACGATACCCCAGTAACGTCACCTGTCTGCTACTCTAAGTCATCCCCTGAGTTCTCAGAGGCACAGCTGGCCGGGAAGGTGAACCTGATTCAGACTCAGTAACAGGTGGTGAGATTCAAGTGGAGGCTGAAGGGACAGAGGCGAAGGAGGGGTGTGGGCCAGCTCCACCGTGTCTGGAGGACTTGATTCTGTACAAAACCTGGCTGGGCGCTCAGCGTTCTCAATCCTGGTTCTGTTCCACAGCTTGGAAAATAAGCTATAGCAACTTGAGCTTTCCTTCACATCAAGGTGTCCCCAGGCGTGCTGAGCATGACTCTTCTGCTCTGCTTTTGGCTGAAGTTCACCAATGCATGTGAATCTCAGAGCACACACCTGGGTGAAAGTTCAGGGATTGAACCTTCTAGAAGGCTACTTTGGGAGCGAGGGATGGGTTTGCGGGAGTGGCAACTTTCAGCTTATCTCCAAGAAAGACTACAGTAAGGATGCTTAATTTCACATCTGACAAACATCATTTAGAATCATGAAGGAGAAGCTCATCAGGTCGAAATGGGTTTCAGGAGGGACAAATCACTCCCATCCATCACTCATTTAGTCTTTCAGGAGCCAACAAGCCAATTGTGCAGACAACAGAGGGCCTCTCTCCCCCCACCTTCTCCCAGCCAGAGGCGGCAAGCAGGCTGCCCTGACTTACCTATGAAGTACGCCAGCAGGATGGCCAGGAGCAGGGCCGCAGCGATGGCGGACAGGGCGGCACATTTCCAGCTGCAGTATTTGGAGGGCTTCTTCAGCTTGAAGGCCTTCCTGGAGAAGGTATTCCGGGGCAGCAGGCGGGGTGGTGGTGTGTAAACGGTTCCTGAGGTCAAAGGGTATCCCGGAGAAGAGCTGCTAAACAGGGGCGTGCTTCCGGAAGAGGTCTTAAAGAGAAAGTGCCTGCCAGGAGAAGGGAAAGCGTCAGATCGACATGCGGGCCCTAGAGGAACATGCAGCTGCCTTTTCTTGCACTCTGCTTCATATATTCCAGGGTAGTCCTAGCTAACCACCCTCCCCCGCCTGTCATGGACGAAGGGCCAAACACTACATGTGATGGTGACATAAATTAATTCCACAAACTCATATCATTATATGCTTTCACACGTACATCTCAATTTTGTCTTCCACAGTAATCCGGCAAAGTCTTCAAAGCAAATGTGAAAACTGAGTTACTGTTCTTACCCAGAGATGACTGAGAGGATACAGTAGAATTTACTATGTAAAGGCACTTGAAATATATTGTCACGACTACTTACAAACTAAATATTATAACATCGCCATTTAAGATGTGAGAAATCAGGCTTGGATGAGTCAAGCAACTGTCCGAGGATTTAAACCCTGAGCTCTGTCTTATGCTAAGGTCTGCTTTTCAGTGTTCCCCTAGCCTGTCTCTCTTGAGCCTCCTTCCTGGTCTGTTTCCTGTCTCCATCCTACTTCCGGTTCTGAGATCACCTCTCTAGGTCATGGGATCATGGTTCTTTCTTTGCAAGCATCTTTGTCCTTGGTCACTAGAGCTATGGTGTGACAATAGGGTCATGGGGTCTACTATTGACCCCTTGTATAACCCTTCCCAGGAGACTTTCTTCAAGGACACTTCAAGGGTCATTGATCCTGTGACAGTAGGTTTTTTTCTCTTAGGTGTGCCATTCATACGACTTCAAATGTGACCTGCCACACCTTGTTTACAATGAGGACTTGTCTTCCAGGAAATATACACTAGTGGACTTTTAAGGATGTATTAAGTAGAGTCTAGCGTCTAAGCAGCTGGGGACTATGTCTTATTCTGTAACTTGTTCACCTTTATGTGCCCAGTACCCAACTCAACGTTTGGCATGCAGGGGAGAACAGAGTGAATAAGTGAGTGGATGAATGAATGAACCTCCCTCATTGTTTTGTGACCTATACTCGTCTTCAGTTCTAAGATTCCAAAATGTCATATAGTTATTTCCTGTCTCTTCCAGTCTTCAGTGGGTGCAACCGTATTTATGGGTCACATACTGTGAGTTACTACAATGCTAAATGTTTTCCTTGCAACTAAACGTCACATCAACCCTGTGAGGTAGGTACCATTATTACCACAGGTTTACAGATGAGCAAATTGAAGCTTGGAGTCAACAAGCCAGGTTGCTAAGGCTTAAACTCCAATCTGCCGAACTCTAAAAGCCCTAATTGTACCTCCTACACCACACTGCCCCTGCATATTGGGGTTAGCAGGCTTTCCCAGCAGGGTTCTGAGGCAAGATTGCTGTCATTACAAATATTTGTATTTTGCCTGCTTGTTCAGACAAAAACCTTGAAAGTGTTTTAATCCCTGACAAAGATCAAATGAGCCTGATATGACTAACAATCATGTCAGAAAATGAGTATCTGATTAGTGAATTATTGAACATGGTTAACATTAAAATAAACAACTGGTATTTAAACTTTATTTGTACGGTACAAATAAAGTTTAAATACCAGTTGTTTATTTTAATGTTAACCATGTTCAGTGACCCTGAATAAAGACAAGAGGTTTGATTCCATAAATAAGGCTTTGTATTCCTTGTCGAATGGCTCTCTTTGAATGCTCTGGGTTAAAAGTGTCTTTTGGAAGAAGCAGCAGTCGGCGTGTTGTTTAAAGGCAGAGTTTTGGAGCAAGATAGCTGGGGGTTGGAGTCCTGGCAGTGCCATTCCTGGGCAAATAAGCCCACTGAAATTTCCTAACAATGCTTTGGAGAGCCTGTCTTCTCACCTGTGACTGGAGGAAAGGACAGCATGGGTCCCACATATCCTAGCACAGGTCTCCGTGAGGATGACATAAGATCACATAGGAAAAACACTTCACCAAGGGCGTGTCTCAGAGTAGTGCTCAATGCATCACGAGTAACATTTATTATTAACTCCTCAGAGCAACAGAAGGGGCCTGAACCATGAGTTTTCATTTAAAGCTTGACAAATGTCAAACAAACACCTGAAGAGTTCTCCAGATCACTAAATCATCATTGGCCGCCTTATAATTAAGCTAGAACACATGCATACCAGGAAGCCAAGGTGATGGGAAAACTCTGGGATTTGGTTTAAAACGACTTCATATTTATTTCTCGGACAATTCTCCAAGAGTGGGTCATGACAATAGGAACTCAAACTGAAGCAAAGGAATATAAAAACAATGTATGTCATCATGAATGAGGATTTAACAACATGTGAACACTAGCTCTCACTCCCGCAGAGATCTCACCCATTCCCACGGCTTCAGCCATCACCGATGGGACTGAAGTCTCCATCCATCAGTCATACTCCATATGACTGATAGATCTCCATTCCTACTGAGCCCACCTTCGTCCCTGAGGTCCAGGCCATATTCCAGTCATGTACTGGGCATCTGTGCTGCCATTCCACAGCTGTAGTGAATCGTGCAGAATACGGACATTCCACAGCTGTCTGGAACAAGTTGCCACCAAACACAGATGCTTTTCCTTCCCCTCCCCAAACACACTCCCCTTGAACCCCTGTTTTCCCCAGTTGCCTAACAAACTACAGTCATTTTCACATCCTCCTTCCCCTCACCTTCTCCCATACAATGGGTTAAAAAAGTCCATCAATTTTATTTCTGAAAACCTTTTCCACCAAACTTGCCATTCAGCCCTGCTGCCACTTTTCTTCCCAAAACATAAATGTCATCGTGCCCTGGCTTAGAAATCCCTGCTGATCCTCCAATGCCTTAAAAAGAAAACCCAAATCTCAATACGGGGCCAGACTTTTTACAAGCACTACTCAATTTTTTTTATCCTCATCTCTAACCCTGTGCTCCCAGCTCCCAGGGACTCTACACTTCAGCCACAGCAAAAGACACGTCTTTCCTTAACCAGCCTGTTCATGCTGCCCTGCCTTTGTGAGTGAC